TCGAACTTGTTGATCATCATACTACAATCCAACCCTTGATCTCTAGTAATCTTGAACGAATTTAGTCATGAAACAACAGTTAAAATGGCCCCAGAGATAATTATTGGTGACTCGTGTCAAAATTACAACGGTGCACAATAGCTACTTTCAACTATCTATCTACGTATGGCTCTACAGTCCTTTATTGGACCTTAGCCGCTTTTTCAGTTTCTTGATCCTATACACAGTCGGTTGGTCTTCTTTGAGGGGGACCAGCCAGTCGCAAGGCCGCTACCTACACACAGGACAACACAAACACATCATAAACGGACACAGATATCCATGCCTCGAGTGGGATATGAACCTACGATCCCAGCGCTCAAGCGAGCGAAGACAGTTCATGCCGTAGACCGTGCGGCCACTGTGATCGGTATGTACCTTCAACTAGGTAACCTAAAATCAGATTCCTTTACGTTTCCAACTCAAAATATCTGTATAATACTAATTACTCGTACATAATTTCAAAATACAATTTCTCGCAATTATAGATCAATACAGGACCTGTACAAGTGTGTCACTGTACTTCAGTAGATGAACTGTTTCGACTTTCATACAGTGACACTTCATAGCTGTCTAAAGTCACCAGAACAATCTGACGTCTGCCATGAGAGACAGTTCTTCTGTCTTCCAATCTTTCAAATGGTCATGAAATTCGCTGCCATTTTATGGAATCCGAATGCTCATTACCGTGTGTACAACTGCCCGCACATGGTCACTACTTTGATCGAGATAAATCAAGGTAAGCTTCTACAAATTGATTCTTCATGACCCATTTAACACAACACTTCCAACTGCTCTTGAATTCCTAAAATAGTTTCTTCCCTTCAGCTTTTCAAACCAAGATTATCTATATATTTCTCACTTCTCCCATTCGTATTACGTGTTGTGCACGTCTTCCTCAATGTGTGTACCCTAATAAAATTTGTGTGAACAACAAATTATAAAACTCTCCACAGTACAAACTTCTCTAGTCTCTTGTTACTTGCTCCCTCTCATGAACATATTCTGCTTAGTACTTCATTCTCAAGAATTCTCAGTCTAAGTCTCGCCCTCAATGTAAGAGAATAAATTTCACACCCATACAAAACAAAAGGTAATACCGTCAATGCAAACTTATACCAATATTTTAAAGAGTTTTGGAAATCTAGGAAAGATATTAACTATACTAGCTCCATGGAGCTGAGCCCTTCTTCTGAAACAGTCAGTTGTGCAGCTGCTGAAAAACGTTCCAATCTTTTATGGAACCCGAATGTTCATCACCGTTTTCACAAGAGCCCTCCAGCGGTCCCTATCCTGAGCCAGATCAATCCAGTCCATACTATTAAATTCTATCTCCATAATATTCGTTTTAATATTATCTTCCGACCTATTACCATATCTTCCTAGTGGACTCTTTCCTTCTGGCTTTCCCGCCAAAATCCTACATTGCATTCTTCTTCTCCACATTCGTGCTACACACCTTGTCCATCTCATTCTCCTTGACTTGATCATTGTAATTATATGTGTCAAAGAGCACAAGTTATGAAGCTCTTCACTATGCAGTTTTTTCCAACCTTCCGTCACTTTATCCCTCTTCGGTCCAAATATTCTCCTCAATACACTGTTCTCAAACACTCTCAGTCTATGTTCCTCCCTTAATGTCACAGACTAAGTTTCACACCCATACAAAACTAAAGGCAAAATCATATTTTCATGTATTCTAATGTTTACGATTTTATACATCAGACGAGAAGACGGAAGGTTCCGGACTGAATGGTAGCAGGCATTAGGAACGGCGTTAGGCATAATAATGGCATTATAGTATTCCGAACAAACATTCTCGGTTGGCTTCTGCCATCTTGAGAATTAGGGGCATCTTTAAGTGAGGCCCCTGTCCATTGGAATCATTCGAGCGCGTCCCTGCCTTACACACAGCTCCATATTCTTTGTTTTACCGTGAGAGGGCAATGCAGCGTCAGGAATCACTGGTGCAGAGCCATCGAAGAGTGTGTTAGTAACCATAGCAGCTGTGTCGGATAGTGCGGGATTCTCTCGTCCTACATGTCTTCATGGCACGGTGTTAGGCACACCGACAATTTTACCTCTGTCCTCATTATCAAGTATGGTTTACAGAGGCCTCTGAAGTTTCTGATGGTGGTCAGGATTCGAACTGTGGTCTTCTCAGCTATCATATCTTCTAGCCAATAAGTTAGCACGAAAGGTTTGAAGGAACATCCTATCTCTATAGGCAGTCGGGATAGGGAAGTTCGTATAACGACTGGCTAAGGGCTTGAAGACTGAGAGGTCGGAGTTCGAGTACCGGTTTGTTAAAAAAAATTTCCAGACCGATTCAAGGCCCACCCAGCCTCATATCCAATGGGAACCAGGTGCTCTTTCACCGGTGATAAAGCGTGAAGCTTACCATTCACCTCCAGCTAGTGCCGAGGTCAGGAAAACTTGGATATATACTTCCATTACTCCGTAAGCCTTCATGGATTAGTGCTCAGTTAAGCACAGGGACAACTTTGTCTTACATTACTTGTACCGTGCACCCATGGACTACGCGGATTCATAACGAAGAAGCCCACAATGTGAAGAGTTTAGGCCCATAAAAATGACGAGTTGTTATTCTGTGACGGATGGGCTTAATAGCTTTACTCTGTATGTACGCCTGAGGTTCTCTTAGCACCGATTGCTGAGATTGTAGTCTTTTGGTCTGTGATAATTTTGTAGCCTTGAAGGCGGATAGAGACGTTCTGAATGTGCATGCTGCCTCCATCTTCAGGGATGGAGTGTGTGCACGATGGAATCGGTTGGACTATGATAGAAAGTTGCAAGGAGTTTGGTCACTTAAGCCTGCAGGAGAGGAGGATAGGCTTAAGAGTAGTCTGGGACAATAGGAAAATGGCTCCATTAAGGGCCGCGATATTGGTTTTCGCCACAAGGGAAAAATGGAATTGTGATAAAAGTTAGCCCGTCTTCTCAAAAAGCCGGTATCCTTCTACAACAACGCACGGTGCCACAACCCAGCAGATCACAATCTATGTTGTTTCACGTTAACGGATGTAGATCTGTGTAGGAAGTAACATTTTAATGATGTTTCTTATACTGCGAGAAAGGCCGAGTCATAGCTCAGGCGGTTAGTCGCCGGCTTCCCATCGAGGCGGCTCGGATTCGAGCCTAGGTCAGGTCATGTGGGGTTTGTGGTGGATAAAGTGACACTGGGGCAGGTTTTCTCGTACTACTTCGGTTTCCCCTGCCAATTTTCATTCAACCGACTAGTCCACATTCATTATCATCTCTATCATCCGGGACTGGTACAATAGGCCAATTAGTGGCCGACGTACAAAGTGGACTCAGTCTCACCCCACCCCAAGAAACTAAAAAAAAAAGATGCGGGAACGCACCGCCAAATCAGCTGACAAGAGGTACGACGTTATGAGTTATTTCCATAGTATTCTTCACCTCCTCATGGAAACTGATAGGTTATTATTATAAAATACGATAGGACGCTTCATAGCCATCGTGCAAAGCCATTCTCTCGTTTAACACTCTATAACTCATTCAGCTGAGTTACATAAGTAACTAACACTAACACTATGGTAGCAGGGCGTGGAGGTTTACGTCTGTAACACCAAAACCCGACATTGGACAAAGTCCTGAACCATCTCCAACCATCTCTGATCCTCACGTCCTATATCCATCTTAATGTTATCCTCCTGGCATCGATATATAAAATAAGAAAAATAATAAGTATTAACTTCTTTATAATCAGACTTCTGCCTTTACATTCCACTTCCTTACATTCTTTAGTTTTTATTTAGTTTCTTGGGGTGGGGTGAGACTGAGTCCACTTGGTACGTCGGCCACTAATTTGCCTTCTGTACCAGCCATGGATGATAGATGATGAGTGTGGAGCAGTTCGTGGAATGAGAATTGGCAGGGGAAACTGAAGCACTCGAAGAAAACCTGCCCCAGTGCCAATTTGTCCACCAAAACTCACACATGATTTCACCTGGGCTCGAACCCGGGTCACCGATGTAAGAAGACGACGACTATTCGCCTGAGCTATGGCACGGACTTACCTTACACCCTTACTCTATAAATTACTATTCTTAGCCGCGTGAAACTGAGGGAGGTAGAAGTAGATTGTAAAGGGTTCTGACGATGGTGTATTAACACACAGAACTATTGGGTTTCTGGATTTTTTTCCATCGTCAGATATTCTAGAAAATAGAAATAACACAACGTTTCGGAAACTGGATCTGCTTCCGTCCTTAGGTGAGGGGTGGGAGACAGTTACTCTCTTGGGGGCTCTTAGAAAGAGCTAATTTCAGTCACTGGGAGATCCAGTTTCTGAAAAGTCGTGTTTTCCTTATTTTCTAGAATACCGGACGATGGAAATAGTCCAAAAACCCAGAAATTCTGTGACGGTGGCAGAGTTCATAACACGATGTCAGGGCTTGCAGGGCTGTAGGATTTGAGAAAATATGCATCGTTGATAGAGTCTGAATTACTCGAAAGCAAAGAGGTTTTTAAAATTTCTTCATCTTCATCTGTCGTGAGTTATATCCTCTGGCCTGTTCCAGGTCAGAAGTGTAATTGAACATATCTTTAAGATATTACAGGATTCATTTAGAAGCCGGTAGTCCCAGCGCACGGAGGGCCTATAACCTACGTGCAGGACAATAGATGACGACAATAGTCGGTGACGTATATCCATGCCATGTGAGAGATTCGAACCCGCGTTGGCAGGGAAGACAGCAGCAGATATGGTATGCAGATTCAAAAAATTCAAATTTGGAAAAGGGTCCCTTACACGATTAAGTTTTTTTTTCCAGTTGACTTCATCGAAAATCTCAATTTTGTATATGCAATTAGGCCGAAGATGAACTGCAGTTTGTGGTATGATCACTGGAGGTCTAGGCATTCTGACAAATTGAAAAGACGTATGTGACATTGATCAAATATTCATACAAAACTTGAGACATACTGATAATTATTATTAACTGTTCTGTTCACTTCCTCTCACATTACTGAGGTTAATATGCGTTACATAAGACTGACATTTCCGATAGAAGATATGATACAATGTTCAGCTGAGAAGGCACTAAACACTTGACTACTCGAGAGTCTGCCGGCGTCCTCAGCTGATCAGGTCTCCGTTCTTTCGCAGCAGCTCCAGCCGGAGCTCATGTTCCCTCGCCTTCAACCTCAGCGCCGCAATGCTCGAACTCCTTCTGTCGAGATCCGGTGCTGGACCTGGGGCTCCTGAAGGGGGGACCGGACTGCCCGGCGGTGCCATGGCTGTGGCGGTCGCTGCGGCCAGCAAAGCAGCAGCATGCTGATAGTCGTCTCCAACAGGGCTCGAACCCGGCAACTTGGGGCGTTGTGCTGCCGATATGTTGGCGAGGAGAGACTGAAAGGAGCTGGCAGCTGCAGCTGAACTATACGTGAGGTGACCGAGACTGGGAGGAAGAAGTGGTGGCGGCGCCCCTCGGTGGTGGGGGCTCGGGAAATGATGTGGTGTTGGGTGGTGACTGAGGTAGCTCCCAGGCAACACGTGGCCCGGTGGCAGCGGTGGGTATCCGCCACCCACGCGGAAGGCAGCAGCAAGTCCTGCGGGATTCGTGCCTTCGAACGGTTTCCGCAGACTGAAACCGAGATGCGAAAATGGGTTCGGCAAAGAGGGCGCTACAACTGCAGAGGGTGGTGCTGCTCCTCCTGAACTCATGTAAGGGTTGTAAGGGTGTCCCTGTGGGCCGACCTTTTCCTGTTTCCGCCATTTGGCTCGCCTATTCTGGAACCACACCTGAAACACAACAAGTTCACGTCATGAAGCTGTATGCGAGTCTACAAGCACGTGTCACCCTTGTCTTATCATCACTCGGCCTCACTGGCGCAACTGATAAATTTATTAGGGTCACGGAGTTATAATTAACATTAATAACTCCTAACACGGGTTGAAATGTAATCGTATTAGCATTTTTAAATTGGATTTCTTAGCATAAAGCTGTAGACTTCCAACTTACAGCTTAGAGATGAAGCTAAGCTATCAACGTCACAACCTTATATTATGCCAGACCTATAAATAAAAATTTAGATTTAATTTGTTTTTTTTTTTTAACAAAACCCAACTCGGTTTTTAATTACGCTGAAAATGATAGCTTGAAAGTCATAAAATAACATCGTACTTTAACATGTAGAAAGGCTTTCAGATTAAGCCGGAATGCACATAGCCTAACGCAGTCGAAATAGGACCGCTTTAACAGCTTTAGACCTAAGGATAGAGAGACAACTTGTTTTCTAAACACTGTGGTTTGTTTGTTTTGTCTGGACACAGCATGTCAGCGTTAAGTCCAATTCAGAATTATACGAATTCAGGTCTTTTCATCAGTTTTCCTTAATTCTACAGTCGAATACAATAATGGAACGTAAGAACGGAAGTACAGACCCTTCCTTAAGTGCCCTCCAATACATCCGATAATATCTACTGCCTTGTCCCAAACCTGTGATAATTGGATGCGTTCTTTTAAAAAGGAACATATATGTAAGTCACTGGATTCAAGAATTTTGAAAATGATTAATGGATTCGAACTGTATACGTCCTCTACCTCTCTATGCCATGATATCGTAATGGTGCTAGGTGAGATTATGAGTGCGCACGTGCCGGTTGTAGGTCGCAAGCCTACTAATTCTGCCGGTAAGTGTAACAGCCAATAACAGTTCGTCAGCTGTCGGCATTCTCCTGAGAAATTCTTATATAAGACAGTCTGTCTCATGTATTCCTTTCAACATTGGGTGTGACTGCATTGTGGGTATGCGAAATGGACTCCATAAGAATGCGTACATACGTGGGCGCGCGGTAGCATAGTTGGTTGAGGCACTATGCTACAAGCCAGAAGGTTGAGCGTTCGATTCCCGATGAGGTCGTCGGAGTTTTCAATTTACCTAATCCTTCCAGCGGCACTATGGCCCTGGGGTCTACTCAGCCTCTAACAGAAATAGGTACCAGGAATATTCCTGGGGGTAAAGGGCGACCGGCGCGTTAGGCTGACAACCTTACCGCCATCTGTGAGCCGATTATCTAGAAAAATGTGGGAGCCTCGACGTCTCACAACCCTATGGGCCTCCACGGCCTGTTACAGGGATATCTATACCTTTACTTTTACTTTACAGGGACAACTTTACCCTACCAGTATCTCCTCCCTCCGCAGTGGCAGTACTGGTAACAAATTCTCCCGGACTCCGCTTCTACCAGCTACTCTGAGTTTAAATAGTTAGTTACTGAAATAAGCCGATCACAGTGGCCGCGCGGTCTAAGGCACGAACCATCTTCGTCCCCTCGAACACTGGGATCGTGGCTCGAATCCCAGTCGAAGCTTGGATGTCTGTGTGCGTTCATTCTGTGATTTTGTTGTTCTGTGTGTGGGTAGCGGCCTTGCGACGGGCTGATTCTCCTTCCAAGGAGTCCTACCGACTGTGTATTGGATTAAAAAACTGAAAAAGCGGCAAAAGTCCACAAGAACTGTAGATAGACAGATAGATAGATAAATAGATAGACAGATAGATAGATAGACAGATGTTACAGGAATCACAACAAAATTACACCGAAAATGCATAGATGACACTCATTATGTGCTAAATTTAATGATAATTTCTTAAGGATGACACACTCGTATATGAGCAGCACACGTAAACGATTTTAAAGAAGACTGCAAGTCTAGACCTGGAAACAGATAACCAAAAATGCCATTCAGAAGCAGCTCGGGTGCAATACGTCAATCCTATGTCAGTAATATTGCCTGACACACGCTGCGTGTGTGCTGCGCTCTCTGTCTGTTATTATGAACTAATCAGCAAAGTACAGCTGACATTTTGTTTACATAATGTCCAACACGTCGTACTCCTACATAAGTTGAAGTTGTCTTACCGGCCAGAACCTGGAACTTGTCAGGAACAGTGCCGAGGTGTGTGCACAAACCAATCTCAGAGCAAATTATCGTTGATAAAGTTGTGGGTAAAGTAATGACAAGTCTGCATTTCTTCTGAGTTCTAACTTTGTTGAGTCGGAGCGATAATCGTGACTTCATTCTCAATCTGCAGGCGACGCCCATGATGATTGTATGTGATGAGAGACAAGAACACAAGAGGGGAGGGAAGAAAGAAAAGAAAAGGAACGGGGGAAAAAAAGACATGAAATACTTGTACGAATAGCTTGCGGAGAGCAAAACGTCAATTACATGAATCCATTTGTTGGGACACGACAAGAGGCGAGGCTGGCCAACGTACCGGTGGGTGTCACAATAGAGTGTCACTTGATGGCATAGCAGAAGGATCTAGACTTAATGCAATGCCAGACCGCAGCACTCCGATAATGGCAGAAGAGGATCACACAGCTCCGCAAGGAACCATGTAATTTATTTAATTAAAGTAAATTAACTTAGCCCCTAATACTTTTCCCCTCTTGAGACGCTTCCATGTTGGCGGCGGTTTAAAACTCGAGGACAAGCGTGTGGTATCTTAGTCTTCTCTTAAGGAATGTACAAATCGACAGGAGGAAGAGAATTATGAAGGAAGGTCAGTTGTATTCCTGCTTTCTTAATACGGGCTACAGTTCCAATGGGAATGCGTAGTGGTTGAGGCACTATGCTACAAGCCGGAAGATCGCGGGTTCAAGTCCCGATGAGGTCATCAGATTTTTTCAGTTGACTTAATCTTTCCAGCCGCTCTAGGCCCTGGGGTTTACTCAGCCGCTAACAGAAATGAGTACCAGGAATTAACTAAATAACTTCCCTGGGGAGTAAAGCGCGGCCGGAGCGTAAGGCTGACAACCTTACCGCCATCTTTGAGCCGATTGTCTAGATAGTGCGGGACCCTCAACGTCTCACAAGCCTACGGGCCTTCACTGCCTGGTACAGGGAGAGCTTTACTTACTTTTACCGGCTTCAGATGGATTATGCTATTGTGGTGGTAACAATGAGACTGAATAAGGATGGCCTAGTGCTGACGGTGATTTTGGTGGTGATAGCTGCGATTACATAGGCAGACTGCCTAGAAGGAAACACTAGTTCTGCTCAACATACTATGGCGGTTGGCAAGCTGAGGTGCAGAAACTCTCCCGTGGAGAGAACCGACATATGTCCATGAAGTAAGGCCGGTCCAGGCAGGGTGGTTGTGTCTTTGGTGGGGACGTATCATAGACCAGGGATGCGTCGAGACACAGCTTTGGAACTACCAAAGGCCGGTCCATGTAAAGCGAAGACACAAGTCGTGCATATCATTGTCGGAAATTGGTATCTGCTGCTGCTACTGTCCATTAGCGCAACTCCTGGTTTCATTATGCTCCTATTACTTCTGTGGGGCCAGTTGCTCCGGCTTTAATGCCACTGTCTCTCTCAGCTCGCTTCAAGCTATTAGCCTGATCGTGATGGCATCTTAATAGGAGCTTGGCGAGTGGCTAGCAGTCGGGTTCATCATATAAGACGGGACATGAACTCCTACTCACTGTAGCCAGACAGTGGGGCCTTACTTGCTAATTATGAATGTTGTACGAGTCTTCAGAACCGATATTTGAGTTCTGGTTTTTAAGGCGCGTCCACATTACTCGTGCTCGTGCGTCAGAAGCTTACTGCTGCCGGAAAATCAGGATCTGGAGCTGATATCTGTTGTGAAGAAATGCGAAGGCTTTGTATGCAAACCAGTTTGGGCGTCCACTTCGTCAGCTCCAGATGCTGATTTTCCGGCAGCAGTAAGCTTCTGACGCACGAGCACGAGTAATGTGGACGCGCCTTAAAAACCAGAACTCAAATATCGGTTCTGAAGACTCGTACAACATTCATAATTAGCAAGTAAGGCCCCACTGTCTGGCTACAGTGAGTAGGAGTTCATGTCCCGTCTTATATGATGAACCCGACTGCTAGCCACTCGCCAAGCTCCTATTAAGATGCCATCACGATCAGGCTAATAGCTTGAAGCGAGCTGAGAGAGACAGTGGCATTAAAGCCGGAGCAACTGGCCCCACAGAAGTAATAGGAGCATAATGAAACCAGGAGTTGCGCTAATGGACAGTAGCAGCAGCAGATACCAATTTCCGACAATGATATGCACGACTTGTGTCTTCGCTTTACATGGACCGGCCTTTGGTAGTTCCAAAGCTGTGTCTCGACGCATCCCTGGTCTATGATACGTCCCCTCCAAAGACATAACTACCCTGCCTGGACCGGCCTTACTTCATGGACACATGTCGGTTCTCTCCACGGGAGAGTTTCTGCACCTCAGCTTGCCAACCGCCATAGTATGTTGAGCAGAACTAGTGTTTCCTTCTAGGCAGTCTGCCTATGTAATCGCAGCTATCACCACNGTCTTGATCCGATTAAAAGATATGTATCACGCAAGTATGGACAGAAGTCGCCAATCATGTGCAGGTTAATTAAAGCTAAGACAATACAGCCTGAGGCTTGTAAGATACAGATGTTCAGGTAGTGAAAGAAAGGTCTAATAATGAGTTCAGCTTTGGAAAGTCCAGCGAGGTTGGACACTGTAGCGCGGAGTTGGGTCTGCTAATATTTAAATCACTTTTTTCGGGGAGTTCCCGCCTTCTGTTACTATGGTAAAGGTAGAATTTTCCATGTAATTAACTAAGTTAGCACTATGCCATGAAGGCGTATAGGGGAGTGGATGTACAGAGCCACGTTTTCTTGACCTGGGCACTAGTTGGAATTGAGTGGTCAGCTTCACCCCCGGGCCTCTTCACCTCCGGGGAAAGAGCCCCCGGTACCCATTAAATAGGGGGTTGGGTGGACCACAGAG